GAAGGCGGTGCCCTAGTCCTCAAGGACTAGGGCGTGCGAGGCGGTTGGGCAAGGCGGCGCGCGTGAGAGAAGGAGGCTTGAGGCGGTTGGAAGACTTGGAGTGCACACCAAGAGATTTAGTTTCCAACTAGCATTATATTTTCTAGCTTGTTTAGGATTCCTAATGTTTTATTGCTTTATTATTTTCCTAGGTAGATTAGACTTAGACAAGTCTTGTGGCTATATAAAGGCCCTTACCCTATGTTATTTTTCATCATCCAAGAAGTCAATAGAAATCTAGAACTTTGTTCTTCCAACTTTGCTTTAGTCTTTTCACCAGAATACTATTGCAATTTTATCGTTTCAATAGGCGCGGTTGTGGCTAGAGAAACACTATCGGCGATTCAAGGCGCGGGATAGTGGCTTATCGGCAGTCGAAACACAGTATCCTCATCATTGGTGCTTTCATTGAGAGTCGAACTCAAGTGTTTTTTCTTCTACCCCATTCCCTTTCTTTTTCTTTTCGTTTTTTCGTCCCCCTTATAAAAAAAAATAAATATACATAAATATTTTCGTCCATCATCATCATCATTATCTTCAACCACGAGTCCACAAAGCAAAGAGCGGAGAGAAGAAAGAAAGGCTATGGCCAACAAAGAGATGAAGGATAAGATCGACAATCTTGACATCCAGATGCAAAGTATGAGCGAGGTTATGGAAGGAAGGCTTGGATCGCTTGACGAAAGTCAAAAAAACACCAACGCCGTCGTCAGGCGACTCGAACAGCGATTAGAGGAAGTCTTGCGCGAAAGTCAAAACAACACCAACGCCGAACGCACACCATCCCCACGGCGCGAAGATCGACGCGAGCGACGGCGCGCGCGCGAGCATGACGAGGACCGACGACGCGAGGGTTACGAGCACGAGGAGGAGTTCGACCAGCGGTCGCAGGCATCCACCTACCGTGAACGGCCGAAGCCAGACAAGCCGAGGTTCGTAATGTCCATCTTTACGGGTAGTGATCCGGAGGCTTGGCTCAACCGAATTGCGCAATATTTTGAACTGAATGAAACCGAAGGCCACGCTCGAGTGAGGTACGCAGCATTCTATTTGGATGGAGAGGCCAACGTATGGTGGCAGTGGCTCTCAAGGATCTACCGTAGGCGGCAACAGGTCATTACATGGGCTGAATTTGAGAGAGAATTGCT